GACTGTAGCGGCTCGAAAGCGGGGCCCTTCAGGGCCCTCAGCACAGTGGGCAGATCTCATGAAGGGATGGTAGGAGGCGTATTCAGCCTCCTAGCACCCCTCAGGAAGCGGATGACCGCGCTGTTTCTGCCCACCGATTGGCCCTCAATAGAGGCATGAGAGGCCGCTATAGCCGCCACATAGACTTTAAGCGTGGATGGGGAGCGTCCCTTATCCAGCAGCTCTTCCAGAAATGACAATACCTGTGTCAAATCAGAAGTATGAGGGTTTTTGCCGCGGTTTAGACACCAAGCGGAGAAAAAAATACTACTTTAAGGCACAGAGGCGTCTCATAGACGGGGCTCTAGCCTCCGAAATTGTGTTTAAGACTCGCTCTAGGAGGCTTGAACGCTCCTGTCGAGCGGCCAGAGCTGCAGGGCCCATAGGTCGGGCCGAGGATGCCATATTGTCCCGTTCGCTTGAGAGAGGAGATCCCGTCTCAGCGGAACGGGCCAAGGGGCCGCTACCAACAGCTGAGTTAGCTCTGATAGCCACAGCTGGTTCATCCAAAGGGGGGCCACCAGAAGAACCTTTTTGTTCCCCTACTCGCCTGATTACCTGTGGGATCAGAGCGATCGGGGGAAAGACATAAAGAAGGAGATTGGGCCAATCGTGGGCTAACGCGTCCCTGGTCTTTGAGAAATAAATTGGGCAGTGAGAGTTGTCTTCTGAGGCGAAGAGGTCTACCTCGGCCTCGCCGAAGATCTCCCAGATCCTCTGAACCGTCTGCGGATGGAGCGTCCACTCCCCTTCCACTTCCCACACATTGCTCCTTGATAGCATGTCCGCTCCTTGGTTCAATTTCAATCGGATTAGCACATGGTGTCCTTTCAGGGCTGGCAGGAAGAACTGACAGGCTCGACATACTGCTAGCATTTCCAGGCAGTTGATGTGGAAGCCTTTTTCCCGCCTTCGACCAGTGGCCGAAAGTCGGTATGCCCTCGCACAGCACCCCCGAACCTGAGTTGGAGGCGTCTGTCGTGACAACTGTCCTTCTGCAAACCATCCACATGGCCACGCCCTGTTCCATCCAGCGGGAGTTCTTCCAGGGTGCCAGGGCTGTTACACAGGCCTGACTCACCCTGATATGCAGATGTCCGTGACGCAACGCCTGGGATGGAACCCATGGTTTCAGATTAAGCACAATTCAACAGCCTAATGGCGGCTGCATCGCCAGCGCTACAGTTGGGTCTGCTTCGTATGCGCCCCGATGCAGCCGCCATTAGGCCCAGCATCCTTTGAAACGCTTTGAGAGGGCGAGTGGTACCAATCTCGAAGGAGGTCGCCAGCCTCCGTATGGCCAGAGCCTGTTCCGGCGTGACTACAGCTCTCATTTGGGCTGAGTCGAAAATTGTTCCCAGGAACGATATACGCTGGCTGGGGAACAACGAGCTCTTGGCAAAATTGACCCTGAGTCCCAGGCACTCCAGGTGGCTGAGGAGGAGGGTCTTGTGTGATATTAATTCTCAGGATCAGCGATGAGCATAGAGTCGTCGCTGGAGGAGAAGAAATCTGAGAATCCTGTGGCGAACGCCTGGCTTATATAGCCAGATGCCCCGCCCATTCTGGCGGGCTTTGGCAGGCTTCGTCGCCATAGGCTCGTGCAGCTCAGTTTTTTAATACACTGCACGAACCAATGGCCGTGCAGTTTCACTGCGTGAATGAAAAAAGGCTTCAGTTCAGGAGAAAAAAGGCTTTTTCCCATATGCGTCTAGCAAGACGCAGTACGAGTGTAGTATCGAAAGGGAACCAGAATGCACTAGTGTTTTATCAGTCTTCTGGGAATACATTTTTTTAACTAGGTGGTCACAATGAGCATTTCCAATGAAGATTCTGTCATTTGATTTCCCAAAGTTTAAACACATTCAATAGCTTTGTTTGAGGAGGTCAGTAACACTGAAACAAGATATCCTCAAGTGCAACTGTGTGTTTTGCTTTCTTTGCCAAATGATGGCATTATTAATGGTCAGTAATCTCAAAATAAAACAGTGACCACTTTATTGCATGTCAGAGTATTAACGGTATCATCTAAATGGTGGTTGTTTGTTTTGCATGTAGATCATATGGGTCCTTCCTGTTTATGTGGGTTGGAAAAAGAAAATTAAAATGTAGACCAGACGTTTTATACACAGCCTGATTCTGAAAGACTATTCTTACCCTGGACCATTTCATCTCACCATTGATTTTCAAATTGGTTTTGCATTCTGACACTTACCTGTACCTCCACGGACTGCATGGCGAGGTCACAGGGTGGTTTAAGTGCTTTGGGACGAGTGGCCAGCCAGTATGTGGTGATGGCAGCGAAAGCGCCCATGCCCATGAGGGTGTTGGTGGGTAAACTGCGCACATACTGCCTCAAGTCGTCCAGCTCAGGTATCCGCAGATGCCGGATCAGATCCTGGGCCTGCATGGCTCTGCCAATTCAGCTTGCTCAAGTCTGAAAGAAGAAAACACAGAAGGAGAAATTTAGTGGGACAAAGCTGAAAATCAGTTTGAAATTCATCCATTGAAGTGAATGCTACATATGTATATTTATAATGAATATTTGGCATTATTTCTGTGTTAACAGCACATATTAACTGACTGACAAAGAAAAACACGTTTTGTACACAAATGAATAAAGCAGGAGATTGTAGTTGAAGAGTAATTTAAAATGTATTTCTTGATACAGTAGACTTCGATTATATTCCTGCTATATTTATTATAAGAACATATTATTCTAATTTATTGTTTATATTTATTATACAAAATATTTTTTTATTTTTGTTATTCTATGATCTTTTTAATCAATATATTTTTATACACTTATCTTCTACTTTGTACATTATAATGTGATGTTTTTTTCTTTTTTAACAAACT